CTTTCTTACCACGCATAAAGCATGGTTGCACTTAGTTCAGTGGCCATGTTGAAAGGTAAACCTCATGTTTGACATCACTGGCATTGATCCCCCTCCCCAATTAGATGCGTGAATACATTTCCAAAGGTCAAGGAGGACTTACATAGCTGTATTCTGTGTACACCTCCCATGATGTGGGATGGAGAACAGGGCAGCAGGTTTACCATCACTTAGGCTTTTTGGATTATTCCAGTTTAGCAATCCCTATATGACAGTTGCCTGACTCCCTGTGTTGGAGGAGTGGATGGAGAACCAAAGATTTGTGACTGTAAGCAAATGCTATTCTTACACCTTTTCCTTGGTCCTGTCATGAGTTTAGGAATATGGAGGTTTTGGCGGTGGAATTTTGGCGTGTGTGTTTTTCTTTTGCCAGGCCTGCCATAAATTGAGGCCTTTAACCAGTTCGCATTAGGATGGTTTGTGGGATTCCCAGGCTTGGCATTACATATACATCTGTTTTCTAGTTCATCTTGCATTACTTCAGAGAAGGCTGTTTTCCAGCAGCTCCTTCTGGTGGTCTCATCTCGTGTTGAGCTTGCTTATGTGGACACAGGGAAAGTGTTAGGAAGTATCAGCTCTTTGCGTTTTCCTATTGGTTGTTCCAACACCTTAACAGTGTAGAGTATAATTCCAAATCCTAACTTCAATTCAAATCCTGTTCAAGAAGCATTTTTCCCAAGGTATTTGCCCTTGTAAACCATGGTTTAAAGTTTCAAAAGACCTGCGTGTTCTTGGATGGTTGAGTACTCTCACACCCAGAAGTATACAACCCAGAAGGGCAGGTAAGGCAATGATTGATGGAGTGTCACTTTGAATTTTGATGACATGCCAGTTCCTGGTTTTGTAAGGACAGGAGGTTCTTCATTTATTTTATGACCATGTTATCAGTAGGCAAGTTCTTTTCTTAATGCTTCAGAGAAAGTGCTCTGAAGAGGGGTTTGAATTTGGAAGAAAGGTGATCTTGTGGTTGAAGAAGACATTTCACAAACATGGGAAGGAGTTAACTCGTAATTTTTGTTGTCTTTCTGGACTTCACTCATGTAGGCTATTTAAAATAGGGTAGCTTAACACATGTGCTCCATCTAACTGGATGCTGGGGTTCAAGTTGTAACCTGCACCTTGCTTGCTATTGTATGCCTTCCTGCTACTCTTCTAAAGTCGTTCATTTACGCACTTCTGTAGCACAGATAGTTAAACTGGGTGTTGCAGATGTGTTTACAGCATACTTTTGTTGTGTAATGAAGATTGTTTCTGTTTTGGGGGAGGAAAGAATGCTTTCACGTGGTATCCTACTCTTAATTGTGAGTGTGCTTGACATCAATTCTTCAAGTGCGCAATGAATTCTTGTTGTAGAAAACATTTGTCACAATGAAATTTAGATGGTCCCTATGTGAGTTACCGTAAGGATAAGCAGCAAGGTTTTTTGGCCTTTAAGAGCTGGGAGCCATGCAGTTTGTGTTCCAGTGTTTCTCAGTGCTGCGTGCTTACGATGATTTCCCAGGTTAGCATAGACATTAGCTGATTTCATTGCTCCTGTTACTAAACATGAGGAGGGAAATGGACTTAACCCATTGTGCCTGCCCTCAAAGTCACACAGGATAGGACAGGGGGTTCTCCACACCAAGATTTTTATCACCTTGTTTCTTCTAGCCTCGGTTGTGTAGCTGTGTGTTGGGCTGTGCTATGAACTGACAGAGATCCCTACGTAAAAGCCCTGCAGAATATTTTGAGGGGAAAGGGTGGGGAGGGTGCACGCTATGCAGCAGGAATTCGTTGTGCTAGTTTTGCCCAAAAAACCCTGAACTGGTGAACCATAGGCTCCTGGGTATGGAACAGAGCTGGTCACATTTGGGTACCATAAAACTGTGACTGAAGGGTAGACAGAGCAGTTGTTCCGTAGCAGCTTCACTGCTGAAGGTCAGAAAGATTTCTCAGTACTTTTGTTAAGAGGAATTAATGGTTTGAAATCAGCACGTGTTTATTTATCGCTGACACATCTAAAACCTCAATTTGAAATACTTTATGAATACCTTACTGACTCTCTTTAATTGCCTGCAGGTTTTTTCTGTTTTCAGATGGGAACACATTTAAGTGACACTGCCATGCAATTCTTTGCATGAACAAACCTTAAATGTTAATTAAATGATGTTCAAGTAAAGATTTCTAAGAAACAGTTTTGAATTGCAATGGTTCCTCTTTTTATTTGGAATGTACTGGTACCTAGAAGACTGTTTCTTTTATCAGAAAAATATGTGGTTTTATGTGGGAAAATCCGTGAAGATTCTTAGAATGCACAAGGCAAATATTATATTTGCCTTCTGGAGCTTTTTTTTTTTTTTTTTTTTTTTTTGGAATGGTGGCTTTTAAGAATGTGCATTGTGCTCTCTACGGCTAAATTGTAGGGTTGAGGAGCTGGATATGTTCTTTCCCCTGCAGTAGCCCAGTTAGTCATTACCACTTTGTGTGTATTAGACAAAGCAGGTTTAAAGTTGACTAAATTTGTCTTTTTTGTTGGCTTCAAGTGCCTTAAGTTGTTAATTTAACAACTTCATTAACCACTACACACATTTTAAGATAGACCAGATGTATTTCTGTCGGTAAACCTTAGGTGGAAAATGAAGGCTTGAAAGATATTTTTCATAAGTAGATGAGACTTTTAATTTTGCATGTTCCGTGAAAGCAAGTACTGCAGAAAGTAGTAAAGGACTAAGGGTTATTTATTTGGTGAGGTGCTTTGCGTATCTGCTTTATTGCACTTCTACTCTTCTGTGTATATTTTAAACATTGTATTTGTTGCCATGTTCTTTCAGTTTTAGAGTTCCTCTTAAAAACATCAACCAGTGTTCTGTGTGCTGATGAAGTGTGTCACAGGCAAAGCCTCCTAAGGCTGTCCCAAGTCCTGTCTTGGGACATCGCTTCTCTCTGAGGAGGAATGGTCTGTCGCAGTGCTCCCTCTTGCATTGGGCTGCCCTGCTGACTGGCAAGAAGGCCTGAAGCACCTGGGTGGTTCTTAGTCATCCTCAAGTAGTAGTGAAGTTTTCTGTCCTACCTCTGTATGTGTGGCTACTTTTGTCTATATAAACAGATTCTTTTCTTTTATATATTATACTCTCTGTATACATATAGGAGAGTTCTATTATATGGGTGTTTCTTATCCTCCTTTATTGCTAGTTAAGAAATATAGCCTCTTCAGGGTTCCAGTCTGGGAACCTGGCATCACCAGTGGCTATGGTATGGTCCAGCAGGGCTCTTGTGCTTTTGGGACAGCTTCCTGCCTTCATGCTTGTTTGTAGCATCTCCTGTGGTTCCCTCCTAGTGGAAAGGAACCCATGAGGATGTCTTTTTTTTTTTTTTTTTTTCTTTTAATTCTAGTTATTACTTTTGGGAGAGAAAGTGAAGCCTGTACAAGATACAAACTTCTTAGACTTGTTCACCATTCAGAAGTGTTTCCTCTTTCAGGTCAGTGTAGCTTCTTCCAGATCCCAGGGTAGTGGTATATGATGTGGCTGGGCTTTACCTCACTGCATGTGGCATGTGCTCTGAAAGAAATGTTGGGGTGCCCCAGCTGCACTTCTAATACCTCGTATTTATTAAGACCAAGACTATACTGTAGTCGTCTTTGATACAAATGTATTGGCTGGAATTTCACTTCTTAAAATTATTATACTGATACTTTCTGAGTCTCCAGGTATGAGTTGAAAATCGAGAGCAATTGCAGAATTCCCTTCCTATAAAACAACCTGAGTTTGTTTTATCTCTGACTGTGATAAATGGAAAGGAAGTAAACAGAAAAAGTACCTTTAGATTAAAACTGAGCAAGTGAGGTTGCGTGAGAAATCTTACTTCAATTTAGAAACTAATTTTCAGAGAAGAGTTAACGGAGCTGCATATACGAATTTCATCATGAACAAAAATTACAAGCTAGAACACTGTCATGGAGTAGAACGCACTAATGTCTGAGGTTTTATTTTTGATATTTTACTGTTTACAAGGAAGACAAAACAGCAGCCTGGATTGCTCTTGTAACCTCAGAAAGTTTGCAGATTGAAAGTTTTGCTGGTCTCATTTTCTGAAGTAAGTGAAGCAGATCTTGGTGTATACTCTCTGTAACTTATGTTTTGTGAATCTGCTTAATCATTCTCAGCATGATAAGATGTACTAACAACTAAGATTGAAAAAATATTCAGTGTCATACATTAAATAAAATTATATGAAATAGGGAGAAGAATTTTCAGTATAATTTACTTCAGGGAAAATATTTCAAAGGAGAAAGTACATGCATTGCTCTCAACTATGTGTACATCAGGCAAGCTTGCATGTATAGACAGGTGAAAAGTTAGAAATAAACTTTTTTACAGTGGAGACAGGAACTAAAGATAAATCTTTCAGAGGCTCAGCACAACTGTATTTATTGTCTACTTAGATCATAGAGCGTCGTTTATGTATTCTAACCTAAAACATTAGAAGAAGGTAAGTCACTTTTTTTTTTTTTTTAACTTCAGGCAAAGCAGGGCCAATGGTCTCACAGAGTTATTTCTTTTTTCTTTTCAGTGATGTTTTGGCACTGCCTATTTTCAAACAGGAGGATTCCAGCCTTCCTCCAGAAAATGAGACCAAACATCCACCCTTCCAGTACGTTATGTGTGCTGCGACATCTCCAGCAGTAAAATTATATGATGAAACTCTTACATACTTGAATCAAGGTTGGTATGCATATGTTGCAGGAATAGCTACGGTGAAAGCAGCTTATGATACAAATCTTAAAACTAGATTTGTTTCATATCTTGAAAAAATGAGTTTGGATATCTTGTTTACTCATCTTGTTTTGTCCATGTGGCACATTCATAGCTATAGTTTATCATTATTCTGTTCACATAGGCTGTTTCATTTTTTTATGTTCTGTGTCTTCCCTGCTTCATCCTCTTTTCCCCAGCCCCTCAGTAAAATCAAACAAACATAACTTATTTTTAGGAGTATACGACTTCTCAAACCTAGGTAAGACAACACAAAAACTTCAGGTAGTAATAATTACTTAAAACACAAAAACAATTTTGCATTCCTGTTTAAACTTAAATAATAATAAATTAATTGGATGACATTTGCATATTGTGTTTTTCTGATGTTTTTTCCACTCAAACGCCCTCAAAAGTCATAGTTAATGCTCATATGTCCATTCCTAAACAAAAAGTTTTGTGTAACAAAGGCCATTGTGATCTCTCTCAAATTAGCTGTAGATGCCTGCCCGGAACAGTCTCATGTTTGGAAAAAAAAGTGCAGGTACCTTTGTGGTTACCTTTGCTGTTCATGTGTATTACACTTTTGTCTGTATACATTTATCAGAATTAAGCAGATAAATATCTCATGTGAGTTTTACTCTTTTTTTTTTTTTTTTCCCCCCTCATAGCCTGTGGCTGACTTGCATGAAAAATGCTTCTTCTTCTACAGATAGCCCTGACTGCTGAATAAAATAATCTGAATATAGCCATTGCTATATGATAATACCTCCCTTGCCTCTGGAAATGTCCTTGCACTGAAGTCCTAAGCTGAGTCAGCTAGTGTTCTGAACTCAACTCTGATTCATTTCACATTTTTTTTTCACATTTTATGGACTATACTGATGGGCTCTGTATACTCTTCCCTACCTACCCCAGCTCTAATGCTGTAGGTTCACTGTTTCTATGTTTTTGGTTTTGCTTTTTCTTTTCTTTGTGTACTTGGACCTAAAAATCTCTTAATAGACAGCACTATAATTAGAAGGCATCATTCTGCAGCTTTAAACATTACTTGATTTGTCTCCTAATGAGAGTATTGTAAGTTTGTTAGGCTGTTAATAGTTCGTTGCAAACCTTATGATTGTATAGTTCAGCAATTTGTTTAGTCAGGTTTACCTTATTTTTTGTTACTCCTTGTACCCTGCATCCTCCATTTAGGAAAAAACAGTGCAATTGCAGCACTATGCTGGACCAGCAATTTGCACTATTTACAAAGCTTGAAAGTTTTGTATCTGTAGAGATATCTGTAGAGATATCCTTTGTTTCTTTCAGTGTCAGGATCCAACCTCCCTGACCAAACATAGAGCTTCAAGGTCAGCTCAGCCTGCTGCAGAACCAGCACAAGATGGCAAGCTGATGAATCTTTTTTGTTTGTTTTTTTTTTTTTAAAAAAAAAGGTGTTATCTGGCTTCTGAGAAGAGCTTGCTATTTAAGTAGCGCTGTCTGAATTAACTGTAATTGTTTCATCAGGCCTTGAAAATCTCTTCTAATATAAAAGTTTCTTTTGCAAAGTTCTTTTGCTGTTTTTCAGTGTCCTAGGTAACTTTTTGTGATGTTGAAAAATAAAGGCATCAGTATATCCTTTTTCAAAATAAATTCGGAAACAAACACTTATCCAACTTCTCTTTTATGCCAATACTTCAGATAGAAAGACAAATACTTCTGCTGCCTAGATTGTTGTTTTGTTTGTGTTTTTTTTTTCTAACAGTTTCTCTCTTAGCTGTTAGTACAAACCTTAAGTACTAAAATATTAATCATGGGATAGTTTTGAGAGATTATATCTTTCACACTGACTTCAGTGTGAAATAGGGATCTGAATAGTTCTGGTCATATTTTGTAGTTTACATTACTCCGTGTTATACTGATACAGATGTCAGTGTAATAAGTTGGATTAAATCATCTAGAAAAGGAGTGGTTTTAATCCCGGTCACCTCACTTTTCTGTTTTCTAGTTCAGCCCCATTATCAGACAGTCTCTTGCTTAAATCATTTTCAAGAGGATTGTGAGTAGGGGGAGTACCATAGAGACCTGATAGCCTCTTCAACTTCATCAGCAGTTGTCTTAGTGTATTCTGAGTGGAAATTCCAGAGGCAAAGGGAACGTTTGCCCTGTCTGTTAAGATAAGACTTTTCCTAACGGAATACTTAGGTAAGCTCTGATTTTACCCTCTGCCAGTAAGAATTTAAATTGGAATAGCTAATAGAATATTTTAAGCGATTAGGTTTTCAGTTAAAGCTGATTCTAGAAGTTCAGATCTTGGAGTGATGATGGGTGGTTGCTCAGGGGTTTGCAAGGTTCTTATTAACTAAGACTTGTTAAATGAGTCTGTGGAGAATATGTTTTGTAGGTGTTAGGTCAGTGTTCTAAGCTGGCTGCTGTTATGCTAGATGTGTGTATCCTCAAAGAGCTGGAGTGGCGTGGAAGAGAATTGTTAAAGCGGAAGTGTGTAGGTAAGGAGAGCTCTAGCTAGGAATGATGGGAGAGGGAAAGTTACAAGCAGCTCTATGAGGGAGTGATGGACAGTGTTGATGAGCAAAGTGCCTGGAGTGATGTGAGTAAAAGGGAACAAAAAATGAACAAAACAAGGCTGTCATAAACAGGGTATTTGCAGTATTTCTCCAGTATCTGCATGGAGAAAGGAAATGTTTACAAAGCACAGTTATGGGGAAACCCCAAACCCTTTCTGGAAAATTGGCATGGTAGGATGCCTTTCTGAAGTGCATGGGCACTAATGCATGCAGCAGATGTGATAGATTAGAAATCTTTGTGCAATTTTAGGGCTATGATCCTGTTGGGATCACAGAGACAGGGTAGGATGGCTTGTAATGCAACGATACACACTCTTTAGGAAAGACAGGGCAGGGAGGTGAGAAGATGCTGTTTCCATTTATGTGGAGGAATAATTGGAATGCCTGAAGAATGGGGACAGATGATGAGCCACCTGAGAGTTTATGGATAAGGATAAACATCAGACATTGTAGTGAGTGCCTGCTACAGGCCACCTGAGCAGGAAGAACAAGTAGATGAGGCCCTCTGTAGCAGCCAGAAGTAGTCTTATGTTCACAGGCCTTGATCCTCATGAGGGACTTCAACCAACCTGGTATCTTTCTGCTTGAGGGCACAGCAGGGCATAACAATCCAGGAGGTTCCTGGAGAACATCAATAACAACTTAGTGATACAAGTGACAGACAAGCTAGTAAGGGGAGGTGCTCAGCTAAGAGCTCATACTCACAATAAGGAAGGGCTTGTTGAGGATGCAAAGGCTGAAGATAAACTTGGCTGCAGTGACCCTGGGATGGTGGAGTTCAGGATCCTGAGAGGAGCAGAGTAGAAAGCAAGATCACATCACTGGACTTCAGAAGAGCAGACTTGGGCCTCTTCAAGGATCTTCTTGGTAGAGTTCCATGGGATAAGGCCTTGGAGGAAACAGGGGGTCAAGAAAGCCAGTTAATGTGCAAGGGTCATTGCCTCCCACCTCAACAGCAGTCAATCCCAACATGCAGGAAGTCAGGCAAAAAGGCCAGGAGGCCTGCATGGATGAACAAGGAGCTCCTGGCCAAACTCAAACATGAAAAGGAAGTACACAGCAGGTGGGAACAGGAACGGGTAACCTAGGAGGAATACAGAGACGCTGTCTGAGCATGCAGGGATGAAGTTGAGGAAAGCTTAATCCCAGCTGGAATTCAGTCTGGGCAGTAATGACAAAGGCAACAAGAAGAGCTGTTGTATGTGGCAAAAGGAAGACTAGAGAAAACAGAAAAAAGTAAAGGACAGGGGCCCTGATGACATAAAACATGGAAGTAGAAGACATGGCCAATATTGGGTCCATTCCTGTCTAACATCTTCATTAATGACTTGGATGCTGGGGCAGAGTTCACCCTCAGTGGGTTTTCAGGTGACACAAACTGGGAGGAGTGGCTGATATAGCAGAAGATCATGCTGCCATCCAGAGGCATCTCGTCAGGCTGGAAAAACAGGCTGACAGCAACCTTCAGAAGTTCAACAAGCACAAGTGTCAAGTCCTGCACCTGTGGGGGGAACAACTTCGTGCACCAGTACATTCTGGGGGCCACCCAACTGGAAAGGAGCTTGACAGAAAAAGACTTGGGGGCCCTGGCAGGCACCAAATTGAACAACAGCCAGCAAGGTGTTCCTGTAACAGAAGTGGCAAATAGTGTCGTGGTCTTCATTAGGCAAAGTATTGTCAGCAGGTCATGGGAGGTGATCCTTCCCCTCTATTCAGCATGAGTGAGGCCAGACTGGAAGTTCTTTGTCCTTTTATGGGTTCCCCTGTGCAAGAGAGATATGTACATACTGGAAAGAGTCCAGAGAAGGACCACAAAGATGATGGAGGCACTGGAGCAGCTCTCTGATGAAGAAAAGCCGAGGGAGCTGAGAGAAGAGAAGGCTCGGAGGGGTCTTATGTACAGATGCTTCAAGGGAGGGTGCAAAGAGAATGAAGCTGTGCTCTTTTCAGTTTTGGCTAGTGACAGGACAAGAAGCAGTGGGCACAAACTGAAACACAGGTTCCCTTTGAATGTTGGGAAGCTCCTCTTTACGTTGTGGATAATGGGGCACTGGCACAGGTCACCCAGAGAGGTTATAGAGTCCCCATCTATGGAGGTAATTTGAAAGTTGTTTGGACTTGGTCCTGGGCAACCAGCTCTAGGTGTCCCTGCTTGAACAGAAAGGTTGGACCAGATGACCTCCAGAGGTCTCTTTCAACCTTAACTATTCTGTGATTATGTTATTTTTGTGAAAGAGGGTATTACCACAGTTCCAGTGTTAAACTCAGCAGTTAAACTTCCTAGTGCCCTGTGTTGTATTGCTCCTGTGACTACTTTTGAGGAAAGAGCAGAGTGCTCAGCATTGAAATGACTAGAATAATCAGTGCTGTACTGCTTTTCATACTTTAAAATCTGCTATGTGTCCAAAACTCCAGAATGGAATGTATCTTTCCCTTTGTCTCAAAAACTCACTAATACCATTTTTGCATTTTTGAGTCTCTCATACTTTTTGATTATTGCCTTCATCAAATCTTCCTTAATGCCATTTTGTACCTAAAATTTTACAAAAGAGAAAGGTTAGCAACACTTCTAGAGCAAGTGATCCGGTTGATTTTTTCTTATTTGCCCTTTCAAAACAGTGGTGGAGGAGAACAGAGAAAGTTTTGCAGGAGTTTTATTAGTAGTGCTGAATTTAAAAAAATCCATATGCTATGTATACACTCAGATGGGCTTGCATGTGTTATATTTCCATGTGAATAAAATAACACCAGTAATTGAATAAATCTTGATGACAGGAAAAAATAGTCCTTATAAATATAGGAGTTGAAATAATCTGATGCTTTGCTCAGCTGCACTAGGTACATTTAATTTTTATATAGATTTATGTTACCAATATTCAGATGTTGCTGGAGTAAAAAATGCCTGCAGGTATATAGTGCAGGTACATAAATGGGCTAAGTGTGTTACAGCAAAACCAAAAGCCCCTGGGTCGTAGTTGTAGGTAACACCAATTGATGGAGCTGTGAAAGGAGTTGAAGAAATCATTTGCTTATTCGCAGAGGAAAAACAGCTGATTCTTTACCTTGTAGGGCAGGCCAATAAATAAATGTAGGAAATAATAGAATGTAAAGACTGTTTGGAGGGTAATACAGAAGGCAATGTATGTACTGCACGTGATCTCAGTGAATCTCTTGAAGTATTATTTTATCCTGTATTTTAGTAAGGGAAGCATGATTTTGCAAATGAGTATGTGCTGCGCACATTGGAAGAAAAAGTCACTGTAGTTAAGATACATTCTAGCCTTCTCTGTTTTGAACACAACAGTTTGTCATATTGACTAGAAAAATGGGTTCACTCATATGAAATAATTGGTAACAAGCTCTTATGCTTGTGCTTATAGTTGGTAACAAGCTTATGCTTATAAGCTTATGCTTATAATTGGTAACAAGCTCTTATGCTAAATGCTTATTTCTGAAATCATACAAAGCCTGAAGATCATACAAAGGTAACAAGTACATGGACAAAATTAAACATGGGAGAGCAGTATGTTTTGTATGAACAGTATAAAAACTCACTTCATATATTCAGCATTGTTTCAGAAGACTAGGCTGTGGTTCTCGGTATGTTGCCTTTCATCAATTTCAAAAATGACAGAATTCAGCTTTTATGGTGAACTTTTTTCTGGAGGAAAGAAAAACAAAACCAGGAACGCACCATAAAAAAATACTTGCACTGAATGTAAAATGAAATGCTTAAGCTTTGGAAATATCTGTAGTTTGATATGAATCAAAAAAAATTGTTGTTGCACCAATTCCTGTGCTGTAAAGTGAACCTTCAGGTTCAAGTTCAGGCGTGAACTTTCAGGTACTGATATTCTTGTGTACCATGTATGAACCAATTAAACACAAAATGGCTTTGTGATCTGACTGTTCTGTTCATACAAATTTTTTTCTTTATAGGTCAGTCCTATGAAATACGGATGCTAGATAATCGTAAAGCTGGAGACATACCAGAAATCAATGGAAAACTGGTGAAGGTGAGAAGTTCTCTAGATAGTGTTACTAACAAACCTCTACTGATTGCATATGTAGAGAGCAGTATTTTAACCTGTTATTGTACACTGACTCATGGAACGTGATGGACTAGCTGATCTGACCAATAAAAGTAGTCACAGAAGATCCTAGTGCTTAGTTTTGTTGGGTTTTGGTTTCAGGTTTACTACAAATTAAAAGATTATATATGTATGCATTTCCCCTTTTATGAATGAGTTCATTTCATGTATCTTTAGAAAACTGAAGGTAAGGTATCACTTCATTTAGCCTTTGTGCAGTGTGCAGTCTGATCTGCTTTAAGGTGGGATGAATCTCCACTAAATGTACCTGTGTGTTTCTGCGCAGTAAAACGAGACTGTGGTAACAGTGTTGAACTCATAAATATCTGAAGTTAGGTTAGATAAATCCAATACAGAGGCTGTATATTTTATGATTGTGTTTTTTGTTTTTTTTTTTTTTTCTGCCAACGCTAGCTACTTGTTGAGTGACTGTTGACCAGTAGTATTAAAAGAAAAAAATCCAGTGCATAGAGTGCTTGTGTGTAGTGAAGGCAGCTTTTTTTTTTTTTTTTTCATGTTAGGCTTGATACCTACTTGTCTGTAGATTTGTATCCAATGTCTTCTGAGCCATCTCTTTTTCCAGTTCATTAGGAAGTGTGGAAGGAAGCTAGAGGGTAACTCAGAAAGAAGAAGCGTAGTGAGCATGTTTATTAATACATGTAATGGAAAATGCACGTAGCCCAACCTGTGGTTTTTGGAACAGTGAGATATTGACATGTAGGAGATTAATTCATAGGAACTCCATGGACCTCTCTTATTTTGCTGCTCAATAAACAGTTTGTCCTGTAGCTGAACTCCTGTACTTAATCCATATTTGTTTCCTTATGCTTTAATATTATCAGAAGGATACTGTGAATCAGAGGTATTGCACAAAGTATAAGAATTGAGGCACAGTGAAAAATGTCCAATTCATGGTACAAATTATTAAAATAATTACTGGGGGGGAGAGATTGGATTTTTCCCTTAAGCATCTGACGACTTCTATCAAATTTTCCAAAAAAAAAAAAAAACCAAAGAATCATATTCATGTTTTTTATTGGGGGAAGAAAGAAACATCTTTTCAATAAAGTTACTTTGACAGTGGTACTGCAAAATTACATCAGAATGGTGTGTCTGTGGGAGACTGAGTCTTTACCTGTGAGCTTTGGTCTATATCATTGGTGAAATTTGGCTGGCTTGTGTAGTCCTATGCTGTGCTCTTACTTGTCCGTGGGATGCTTGTTCAGTGATAATTTCAAGAAGTTCTAAGCACAAGCATAAAGTTGGGATTTGTGAGCTCTACAATTAAAACTTTACAGCCTGGCATTTTGACTTGATGTAATAAGCCTGCTGCATATTTTGCCCCCTTAGGTGCTATTTCAATATATTTGGAGAATCGGTCTGCTGCCATATGATAGGTTCATATATTAGTTATGAATCATTTGTTAGGTAGAATGGGACAAAGCAATGTAAGAGTTGAAAAAAGGAAACTTTCTTACAGCAAGGTGTTGTGGTGCTGCATCAGAAAAAAAAAAATTCACTTAGGAAACTTAAATATTGGAATCCCAGAACTTGAACAAAGAAGACATTTCATGGTGGTGAACGTGGCTCCAGATACTTTGAAGCTTCATAGCTGTCAAACAGTGCAGTGAAAAAGGGGCAGTGTGTTTGTGTTTATGCATATGCACTTTCTGTTACCTTTAAAATAAAACTAAGGAAATGTATCGTGAAGAAAAGGCACTTCATTTAAAAGTTGTACGTTTGGTTTTGTTTTTACCAATTTTGTCCACTATTAATATGACTGTAGAAATGAAAGAAAATACTTCAAAAAATTTGTCTAAGTTTTGTTCATTCAGTATTAATTCATAAATACAACATATATATTTTTTCTTCTGTGCAACAAATTGCTTTGTATATGCATTCATACAGCAGAACAGAAATTTATTTAATATGGTTAAGAGCACAGTTGTAGCAGAACTGGTCACAAAAATAGGTATTGCTGGATAATTGCTTCTAGCTGATTAAAGTTAATCAAATCCTAGTATCTTTAAATGAATATTTTAGGTAGAAAAGCTCAAATAGTTTGGAAGTTGTTTATTATTCCTTGCTATTAACTAAAATAATAGATTTATTGTAAATATGTTTATAAGTACTAGGAAGATTTTTTTATTAATTTCATTTCTTAAAACTTTCTGCAGTATTTCACAAAATTGCCCATTAAAAAATGGTCAAACTGTATTCACCCCTTTTCAGAATAAATGAAGGCTTTTGCTTTCTAAACAAGTTTTCTAAAACAAGTGTATGTAGCATACAGAATTGATACTGTGCTGTCAGTGTTGCTCTGTTTGCTGTGCATAACTTATAGTGACATTAGAATATGCAATAAGATGTAAATTTTTTTGCACTTTTTCCAAGTTTTCCTGCTGTTCAGTTTTATTTCTGTATTCTAGAATACTTCGGCATACTGATGGTTGTGAACTGTTTTGTTGTTGTTTTTGTTAATACCTATTTGTTAGCAGTATGGCTGTTTCAGAGTGCTTTAGTGGTCTATCTTCAGGCTATTTCTAATAGTAATGTTGTGGCTCATCCAATGTTTTCTTCTTCATTAGAGTATTATAAGAGTTGTGTTCCATGATAGAAGGTTGCAATATACAGAACACCAGCAGCTAGAAGGATGGAAATGGAACCGCCCTGGGGACAGACTTCTTGACTTAGGTATAATTGTTTCTATCTGTTGGAGTTATATTAGATTAAATACCCACATTTAAATTGAACATGGTCGTATTTCTGGTACCACTGATGAAAAAAACGCAGACCAGTTTTCTGTGTGCCACTTTGTCTTAATGTATTTTAAACAAAAATGTTCTTACCACTTTCATATTCTTTTAAAACCTTTAAGTGTTGCAGAGGTAAGATTGCAATTCTGCAACTTTATATACTTAGTACTCTTTGTAATTTTGATTCCTAAATATTATAGTTATTAGGAGAACACAGATACAAGCAGACTGTGGAAATGGCTCCAACATGGTTTCTTTATTTTGCATAACTCTATAGTATTTGGTGCATAAGTTGTAGGTGGATGGGTGGGCGGGCTGGCAGGGGAGGAGCTCCCAAATGTTGAGCACTTTGTATGTTAAGTCTACTAAGATTCTTCAGATCAGTCCAGAGAAACTGTTTATGTTTAAGCTGGCAAAGCCCACATTTTCTCCCTTAACCGCATGTGCTCATGGTAACCTTGTATTACAGTGTACTTCTAGTATTTTCTTGGAATATTATAATTTTAAAATATATACTACTTATTTTAATACAGATATTCCAATGTCTGTTGGAGTCATTGATATCAAGACAAATCCAAGCCAGCTCAATGCAGTTGAATTTTTGTGGGATCCAACAAAATGTACATCTGCTTTTATTCAGGTTTGAAACTTTACTTGACTGATGTCTGTGTTTGGTGCCTTACAGGTCACAAACAACAGTATATTTGCATAAGTTGCATATTTGTGTATGTAAGTTTCTTGTTTGTTATTTGTGAGATAGTCATTAAATATCAGCTTTTTAAGAAACACAGGTTCATAGCAACTAATCTATAATGGTTCCATGTTAGGTTTTTCAGCTTAATTTGATCTTATAAAAGCAGCTTTTACAAACAAAAGGTTTTCAAAAAGCTTTTTGAAGAAAGATTTCATGGTAAAAATATTTAGTTATATGGAGTATTAAAATTCATTTATCCTAAATAACTGTCACTATCACATTATTTTAGTTGGGAGACCCACTGTCCTATTGATGAGCTTCAACAGAAGCTTGGCTTGAGGATACAAAATGTTAATGTGCTACAAATAAGGTCTTTAAACATTCAGATAAGTTTCTTGTATCAGTAGGCTTCCTCGTAGTAGGATTTTTGCTGTTTATTTTTTGATTTGGTATTTAGGACAATTGAAGGTGCTTTTCTTGGAATTTGCTTAGAATGTTTAGTTTTGCATTCAAATTTTTAGCCTACTTTTGTATCAGACTTGTTTTTATTATGGAGAAATAGTATAAAGTTTGAGGTAGCAATTTTTCTTACTGAGGCTGCCATAGCTTAAATGCAGCATTGTCAATAAATTAACTTTGATCTGGTGCAATCAAAGACATTTTTTCTGTTGACAATTATATGATTACTAAAACATAGTGTTTTGTGAAGAAGTGTGAGATAAATTGGTTCTGATTATACAAGTATAATTGCAGCATAGCAATAAGCTGCCCTGGCTATGCTTCAGTTTCCAATTTGTGGTTCTCTGTTGTTGAAGGCCATAGAAAGCAGAATAGTACTGCACATGGTTTTTGGCAGTGTAAGGTATGCTTCTGTCCATGATGTTTAACTTGCCTAATATTCCAGAAGCAACCAAAAAATCAGGAGCACTGTCCAGTGAGATTCATTACAGCTCTTGCAGTTGCACTGATTTTTTTATTAGGTATGTTTTATGGTTATTTCTAGCTGATAAATGCAGTCTTTAGGCTGATGTAGTTTCAAAAGCATTTGAGGCAATTATATACTGGTTAAAAATCTGTTGACTTTTACTGGAAGTTGGGCATATTTGAAAATACCTTGTGTTCACGTGAGATGAAAAACTCTTCCAGTCAGGGACCTTCTGTAGTTCTGGTAGCATTTATTACAAGTAACTCTCAAATTTACTGTAGGTATAATGCCTTTGACAGTAGTATGTTGAAAAGTTTTTGTTATATTCATGATAGATACAGTAGTTATGCGCATACATTTTTCTTAAGATCTAATGTGACAGCTTAAAATTTCTCATTTAATAAGAATCTATAATGCCTTCTGGTTTTTGGAGCAATTTCAGTCACACACTTGTTTCCCTTCTTCCCTGCCAGCTCAAGTATAATGTTTTTGGCTTTGTTTGCAAATGGGCAGGAAAAAAAGATAGTCATGCAGCTTGGTCCTCAGATAGGCTGGGTCATGTTACTTGTCCTTAAAAATGTACTTGCTGTTGCTAACACCTAGTGAAATTCATGTATAGGACACTTTTGAGGGTGTTATTTGTGTGCTTATTTTTTTCAGGTACATTGTATCAGCACTGAATTTACCCCTCGTAAACACGGAGGAGAGAAAGGAGTTCCTTTTAGGATTCAGGTTGACACATTTAAACAGACAGAAAATGGAGAATATACAGACCATCTGCATTCGGCCAGCTGTCAAATTAAAGTTTTTAAGGTAACGGTAGAAAACAGATACTTAATAAGTCTCTCAGAAGCTCTCATAAAGATGGGAGACGTCTTTGTTACTGCTTGACTTCTGTGATCAGATTTCAGTTATAAAGCTGTTTTACACCCGCTTTCTTATTCATGTAACTGTTCATTTTTAGCCAAAAGGAGCAGACAGGAAACAGAAGACAGACAGAGAAAAGATGGAAAAACGAACTGCACACGAAAAAGAAAAGTATCAGCCTTCATATGACACCACAATTCTCACAGAGGTAACAAAAAAGAATTGTATCTGCTGAGGAGAAAATATATAGATGCAGTCTTGGAAAGGTTGGGGAAGAAGGAGTTCTACACAAAGATAGGCTCTTCATTTGACAAACTTGTCCAATGGACAGCAACATTAAATTTAAAGATTCTGTTTAGTAAACTTCATTTAGATTATAGATGCTTGTATTAACATACTCTAAGAACAAACACTGTATGAGTGACTGCATTGCATCCTAAAGCAAGTCTTTTGGTACAGATCTAAAAAGCTTGCAGCTGAAAAGCCTTTTAAAAAAAAAGGGGAGGGGGAATCTAGAATTTAATTATCTGCTAAGTTTGAGCTTCAAACTGTGGTGTTGTTTTTTTTTTTGTAGATTATGTAATATAAGGCCAGAGCCTCAATAGGTTTTTGCATTTTCTTTTTATTTAAACACCAGTGAGTTCTATAGAGTTTTCTAAAGATTTCAGAAGTTTTTAAAAGGATTTTAGATCTTTCCTCGCTGTATAATGAAAAGAAATTGACCCAAATCTTTGGTGTTTGTCCAGATGAGGCTTGAGCCTATAATTGAAGATGCAGTTGAACATGAGCAGAAAAAGTCCAGCAAGCGGACTTTGCCAGCAGACTACGGTGATTCTCTGGCAAAGCGAGGCAGTGTAAGGGACTTCTGCTTATCTTTTCATTGTGCAAGATACCTTGTGCAGTGTTAGATATAGGAGAAACTTCCATTATATAAAGTAAAAATATTTTGATTGCTGTGCCTTAATTTTATTCACTGTTATGTATGCCAATTGCTCCATGTTGGTTTTTAGCAAAGGAATCCTTCCTAAATCTAACACTTAAGATAAATTGTTGCAGAGAGACTGTGTGACTTTCAAAAGTAAAGAGCTTTCAGTTTACGCAACTTTGAAGTGAAATAGCTTTTTGCTTTCCTGTATGTATGTAATTAGTGGAAATAAGAACAGTGAAATTTAGTCAAAATGTTTTGTCCCATAATTCTGTTTACATTCAATCTAAGTTTCCATGTACATCATTATTTTTAAAAAGACATGCAGTGTTGCAGCTTTTTACCGATTTTTCCTTTCACCATCTACATCTTGTGCTCCAAGCAGGTTTAATGCAGTTCAGAGCAGTCAGTCACTGTGTGTGTGCACTAACCCTGGGGGGGGAGCAGTATTAAGTAATATGGGTTCCTTGGGGGATTCCCTTCCACCCCCTCCCCAGAACTACTTTAAGGAAAGAGCTGTCTTGAATTTACCTGCTAGTATTCTTGGCTGTGGGTCTTGTTTTGTTTTGTTGTTTTCTATCTTTTAAGATGCACCTTTAGGATTCTTTGGCAGCGCAGGCATGCAGATGGCCTGAGGTGGTGGGGAGAGGTATAGACAGGAGAAAACAGGATTTTAGCACTTCTGCTTCTAAAGAAAGTCTGAAGCGTTTCTTGATCCTGCTCCTTGGAGAGATTTTTACTCTTTTCTTTCCTCCCTTGCTTTCATCTCTTCTTGTTGTCTTCATTGAAATAATTATTGCTTATAGGAAGGATAGAAGGTACTTTACAGAGTTGTGACAAATCAGTTGTCGCAATTAAGACAAACTATAGCCAAACAATTCTTGAAAGTTGTCTAAACTTCTTAACAACCTCTGTACAAAACTCTTGAAATATGAAGTTAAAGTGTTACATTAATCACAGTGAAGAAAAATTGAGCTAGGGCAGCTAGTACTGGACTTGTGATGAATATTAAGAGTGTATTTCTTCACTTCCTGCATTTACAGAATAGTCATCTTCCTTAAGGCTTTGCTTCTCTTAAGCTTTGAGCAACCTGATTTTCTTAATATCTCCCCCCACTTCCAGTAGTATTTTGTGATGATGCCTGTGATCAAGCATCTTTTTTCTGTTCTGTATGCTGTGCCGTGTTCCATGTCATTTTTGCTCCATGGTACCTAAAACTGAGCACAGCTTAAGCCTTGCCAGTGTCAAGAGAATTGGAAAGCTTACTTGGTTTGTGGGTCATGTAATGCTGTATCAAAATTAGTTGGCTGAATATGAGCCAGCAGTGTGCTCAGGTGGCCAAAAAGGCCAACAGCATCCTGGCTTGCATAAGAAACAGTGTGGTCAGCAGGGCTAGGGAAGTGATTGTCCCCCTGTATTCGGCTCTGGTGAGGCCGCACCTCGAGTACTGTGTTCAGTTTTGGGCCCCTCACTACAAGAAGGACATCGAGGCGCTCGAGTGTGTCCAGAGCAGGGTGACGAAGCTGGTGAGGGGTCTGGAGAACAAGTCCTGCGAGGAACGGCTGAGGGAGCTGGGCTTGTTCAGCCTGGAGAAAAGGAGGCTCAGGGGCGACCTTATTGCTCTCTACAGATACCTCAAAGGAGGCTGTAGTGAGGTGGGGGTTGGTCTGTTCTCCCATCTGCCTGGTGACAGGACGAGGGAGAATGGGCTTAAGTTGCGCCACGGGAGTTTTAGATTGGATGTTAGGAAGAACTTCTTTACTGAAAGGGTTGTTAGGCATTGGAATCGGCTGCCCAGGGAAGTGGTTGAGTCACCATCCCCGGAGGTCTTTAAAAGACGTTTAGATGTAGCACTTAGTGATATGGTTTAGTGGAGGACTTGTTAGTGTTCAGTCAGAGGTTGGACTCGATGATCTTGAGGTCTCTTCCAACCTTGAAATTCTGTGATTCTGTGAAAATTGCTTGCTTTTTCTGTGGTGTTGTCATACATGTTGATTCACGTATGAATTGGGTGAGCAATGACCCACAGGCTATTGTGGAGTAACAGCTACTTAATGCTTTTCAGTTCTCATAATTCTGCAGCTTACTCTTCCTGTTTTGCATTTGCCCTTAATAAAATTCTGCCTTGAGATCACTTGTTCAGTTTGTTGAGGCCATTTTGAACTTCATTCCCGTATGATGAAACACTTTCAGCTTTGCTAATTTGATTTAATCTGCAAATATAACACATGGTCTGTTCCATCACACCAAATAACACTGTTTTTGCTGTACTCTTAGTAAAACCTTAGTAATTACTACAAAGTTACTATTATTTTTAACTCTTAGTATACAACTTGCTTGCTAGGGAAGGAGTAACTATTCTACAGCTAGAAGGACGCTTCATCAGACTTCTGTCACCAGGCAGGCTTGACTTTGTAGGCCTTGTAAATATGGACAGGGAATAGATCAGTTCTGGCCTTGGAAATCCTTTTTCCCAGATCTAGCCATTTACTAAATCAGAAGGTGTGCCTGTATCTGACTTGCCTCATATATGCAGATCAGATATATGCAGATGCATGTGCTGTTTAAACTATCACAGAGAAAAACTAGAGGCCTCTTTTGTTAAGGTATGAGGATTCACACTTGCATACATATTATGGTCTTTATATATGAGGGTTCTTGTACTACATGTGTCAAAGGAACTGTAGCTCCATTACGGAAGGAAAACGAGATTGCTTGGAATGCTTTCCCTGACAAATGTGTGTTGGCTGTTACTTAGCATGCACTTCTTCCTAGATGCTCAGAAATAAGTTTTTGTTGCCTCTTCATGAATTGTAGAAATTTAGCTCAGTCCACTCTGTAGTTCTCTTCCTTTCTCAAAGCTGGGTATTGTTATCTTCCTCCTACACCTCACCTACTCTATAGGCTGTCTTTTTTTGTTCCTTGCATTTTGCATCTCTTTTTACATGTTTGTCGTTTTATTGTGCCCCTCCAAGATTCTACTGTTTGCTGGTTATATCTAATTTTGTTCCTTTATTCCTGTATTTCTTCCAGCTCAGCCACAATCCCAGCTGGACAAATTGGTCTCTTCACGATTTAATTTGTGATTCTAACACAACACTGTACAAAGAGTTGGGAAACTTCCTTTCTGAACGGGTGCTTGCTTTCTGAGTGGTCGCTCCACTCTGCTCTTCTCATATCCTTTCCTAGGATCTAGAGGCTTTGTCTATTACTGTCATATGTCTTTCCCCTCTCGTTCATTTTCATAAGAATGTGCTTTTCCATTATTCATTTTTTTTCCACCTCATGTTTCAAAATTCAGTGCAGTCACCACAATTTCTTCAGTGTTTATCATAGTATTTTCAAAACAGACACGTATAATTAAACTACTTGTTAAGACTGTCTTGTACTATGGACAGTTTACTTTTTCCATAGAGGTAAAAGGCTACAAACTTAACACTGCCTTTTTGACCTCAGAGCAGATGTTTATGGACAGGTGACTTTCATCCAGGGGCCATCTTATGAAAGAGGTGCCCTATATTTTTGTCTTTTAAATATATAGAACCTAGAGTTTATCTAACAAAGAAGGAAAAAAAAAAATAACAACAACAACAAAACCAAACAAAAACAGGATCTTTTTCCTGGTTTGAATTTGAAAAAGCAGTATCTTGATTGATTGTTATATTAGTATACAATGAATTATATGTCACAAGATAGAATGTATAAAACTACAATTTGATTAAACTTGGTCAAAATGTAAATACAGTTGACTATAAAATACATGTGGAAGTTGGAAGACTTCCAGGTATAGGCCTTGAAATGAATTGGAGCATTAAGTTTTGGATGTGAAAGATTGGTGCAGAAGTTAAATATTTTCTATAAGCAACTTAAATGTAGAATATGGGACCTTCTCGAGGCCATATGAGTCTGAAAGTAGAGCTGGGACAAAACTGATGTAGCAACAAAAACATACAGTACTGCTTGTTTGTTTCTCTTTACCTCTGTACTTCATATAGTGGCATACAGGATACGTTATGTGGGTGACTTTACATTTTGGGAATAACTTCTTTACTTCTGCTTTCAGAATAATTAAGTCTGTATGAGTAGAAGTTTTTCACTTTGGACAAGAAGGACTGCAGCTGCTTGGGGCAAGAACCCTTTATTTTATAGGTTTCTTGAAAAAGCTCTATGTAATAAAATTGCTGCCCTGTACTCCAAAGATGATGCTATGGGCCTTGGTTTTGTGATGATTTGGTATTTGAATATAGTATGGACTTCTTTGCCAAAGTTCATTTTTACTCTCTCATAAAGCATGAATTTGGGCGTACTCTAATAGACTGGAAGTAGGAAGGGAAAGGACAGTAAACAGTGGCTTAGAAAAACTTGAATTTTTGCAGCTCTTCAAAAGTTAAGAACATTGAGTTTGAATGACGCATATCCCAAGTCTGAAAAGTCATACTTGGAAAGAAAGTCTTCCATTTTAGCTCAGTAAAACCATGAGTTAAATTTATAACTTCATTCGTATCCCATACAGAAGGATGTTAAAGATAGGAAACCAATATAATTTTCTCTTTATCAAGAACTAATCAGTGTTCAGAGATTAGGGCATAATTTCTGGAGTACAATTGTATCAGTGGTATTGTGTAAGTGTACTAGTAATGGAGGGCAGTTAGTACTGAGACCTTTGGTTACCTCAGTTTTGGGTGTAAGAATGTAAGAAATATCCTGTTGGATCAGATCACAAGTCTGTAAAGAAAGTCCTGTGCTCTGTCTCTGGCAGGGGCAATTTGTAGATGATGTTTTGTGAGAGCCCTCAGCAGGGAAGTCTTGGCACTTTTTGTGGTCCCCTCCCCTCATAACTCTCCGTGTCCAGTGGGATATTAGGAAGCACCTCTTTGCTGAGTCTTTTCAGTGACTGTTAATGGATTTGATACCCAAACATTTGTCTAAACCTTTTTCTGAATCTGATAGGATTATGAAGTGTGGGACAGTTGTACATGTGAATGGTTCCAAAAACCTTAAGCAGATTGAGTTAGTTGCTGTAAGACACTTGAAGAATATATGCTGTAGCCATTTTTATTTTTACTTTTTATTTTTCACGCTAGGCTTTTTTGTACCTTGAAACTTACAGAATTAAGTATCTCAATGCTCAAACGTTCTTTTTTTTCCCTCCACAACCTATGTGACAGAAGAACTGAGCCAATGGACGTGTTGCAGGATTAGTATTATCACTACTTTTTTTTTTTTTTTTTTTTTTTTTTTTTTTTTTTTAAACCAACAGATTCAGTGTTGGTAGATAATATTTTTGCAGGAAGAGGAGTCGAGAACAGGGCGTTAAGTGTGTGTATAGGAGAAGGAAGGCTACTCTCTTCTGGTTGGGATCTTTTTTCTGAAATGTGTTGTTTTTTTTTCCTGTGTTTAAACTCAGGCTGTTGTGAACAACTTAACTAATTTTGAAGGAAAGCAACATTAACTGCAGTACGTGACTTGGAAATGTTCAAAGCCTGTTCTCTTGACACTGATGCATTCTGCCTTGCCCCTGAAGTGAAATAAATGTTTAACCCTATCTTCGAAGGAGTAGTAGTTAAGGATGTACAACTTGAAACTGTGCGTCCAGATAAACAACTCACATTGATATTTAGTCAGCGAATC